AGGAATCGAGGTGATGAACCAGGGTTGTCCAGGAAAAGTGGGAATTTGGGAGTTTGTTTTCATTTGGGGCTGATGAGGCTGCCCCAGCCCCAATGTCCTGCCTGGCCTTGGGCACTGCCAGGGATCCAGGGGCAGCCCCAGCTGCTCTGGGCACCCTGTGCCAGGGCCTGCCCACCCTGCCAGGGAACAATTCCTAATTCCCAATATCCCATCCATCCCTGCCCTCTGGCAGTGGGAGCCATTCCCTGGGTCCTGTCCCTCCATCCCTTGTCCCCAGTCCCTCTGCAGCTCTCCTGGAGCCCCTTTAGGCCCTGCAAGGGGCTCTGAGGTGTCCCTGGAGCCTTCTCCTCTCCAGGTGAGCACCCCCAGCTCTCCCAGCCTGGCCCCAGAGCAGAAGATGAGGAATTCCCAGCTGTTTTGCTGTTTTGCTGTTTTGCTGTTTTGCTGTTTTGCTGTTTTCAGCAGCCCCTCCCTTGGCCAGGGAGCAAAGCCATCCCTGGGACCCTCTGGGTGGCTCCAGAGCAAAGCAGAGGCTGCAGGTGCCCAGGCTGAGACATTCCAGCTGCATCCCAGGGTCAAATATAGCAAAAATAGCAGTGGAGAAAGGTGAATTCATGGATATTTGTAAAAGTCTGACTCCATCTGCTGCCTCGTGCCTGCCTCAGAGGCTCCTCTCAGGGAAGTGTTCCATTGATTCCAAAATCCCAAAGGCACCACAGGGCTGTAAAACTCCATCCCAAGAGCATTCCCAGCTCACTTCCCATTGGAAGGGACACATCCCACCCCAGAATCAAACCAAACAAAAGACCTCCACTAAATCACATCCTTTTTATCCTTCTTTTTCCCCTGGGGAAAAACTTCAGGTTCTTGAGGCAATGGAAAGACTCCAAAGGATCCAGGACCCTGCACATGGACATGGACCAGACACCAGGACCCTGCACCCTAAAATTGGGCACCCAACCCTATCTGGGACCCTGCACCCCAAAACTGGGTCCCTACAGCCCAAAACTGGATCCCTGCACCCCAAAACTGGGTTCCTGCACTGTCTGGGTCCCTGCCCCAGCACCCCAGAGGTGTCCCCAGCATTCCCTGGTGACATCCTGAGGGGACACCTGGGACTCAGATAAGGCAGAAAATCCCCCAGGGTGAAATCCTGTCTGTGACCATTCTGGGATTTGGGAAGCATTCAGGGATTTGGGAATCTCCTGCTGAAGGATCAGGTTTGTGTCCCTTAGTGTCACCCACATGTCCAGGAGCCCTGAGGGGGGCAGAGACACTCCTGGAGCCCTGCAAACATTTGGGGTTTCATTAAAGCTCTGTATAAAAATGTGTTTGTGGCACTGCTCTGGTTGTGAAACTTAAAAGGAAAATAATAAGTCCTGACCTTCAGCCAGGGCTCAACTGAGCATCCTGGGGGATTCCAGATTTTCCCTGATCCCACATTGCAGAAAAACATAAGAAAGCTCACTTTTATTTTCATTGGAAAGGAAGCACACAGATACTTCAATCCTCATCCCCCCCTCCCCCTGGAACAAGGCACAGCAATAAAATCCTGCAAGAAATTCCCATTTCCCCCTTTTCACGTGGAGAAACTCTCCTTGCATGTTCTCCTGCAATTAAGACCAGCATTCCCAAGGAGATGTGCCCAGAGTGAGGAAGGGGTTTCTCCTTTTCCAAATTAAACAAAAGCATCCAAACAGAACAATTCCCTTGGAGTTTTTCCACTAAACCTCTCTGTTCCAGGGTCAGCCATCCCAACCTGGGCAGATCCCAGTGGTCCCAGGGCACTTGGCAGCTCCAAGATCCCTCACAACCTTGTGGTGTTTCTCAAGGAATTTGCAGGAGCTTGGAATTCCATAACTGGGACCTCAGTGTGCAGGTAGGAAACTCAGAATCATGGAATCATTCAGGCTGGAAAAGACCTCCAAGGTCATCCAGTCCAACCTTTGACCAGATCCCACTAAACCCCATCCCAAAGTGCCACATGGACCTGTTTTATGGACACTTCCAGGGATGGTGATTCCACCACTTCCCTGAGCAGCCTGGGCCAGTGCTTCACCTCCTTTTCAGCTTGGAATTTTTCCCAAATATCCAACTGGTGTCCTCGTGGTGGAGCAGAAAAGGAAATGTCACCTCCAGCCTGTCCCTGCTCTGTCCCAGAGCGGGAGATGGGAGCAGAGGAGGAGCTGCAGGGTGGGGAGAGGATGTGGGAGCCCCGAGCCTGATCCAGGCAGGCTCTGCAGAGACTTCCAGAGATTCCATGGCCGTCCCTGCTGATTCCCCCGGGATCCACAAAGGCCCTGGGCTCTGCTGGAGGCACGGACTGATGGTGGTGGGACCTGCCTGAGGCCACAGCCCCACAGCAGGGCTGCTCCCGGCAGGAATTGTGCTCCACACTAGAGCCCCCCGTGCTCCCCTGGGATCAGCAGCGGGGCTGGGGCACAGGGGGAGCCCCCAGGCCGGGCTGTGCCCCCGGGGCAGGGGGGATCCCTGGGCTCTGGGCCTGCTCCAGCTGCAGCTCCTGGAGGCGGTGCTGGAGGTGCTGCAGGAGCCCGGGGAGCCCCGGCCGGGCTGGGGGAGCCCAGGGATGGAGGCAGGGTGGGGACATTCCCTCTGTCCCTGCACAGGAGAGGGAAAGGGCAGGTCAGCCCAGGGCTGGGAGCTCCAGGAGGACCCTGCCCACACATTCCTGGCTCCTCGTGCTCTGGAGCTCAGCCACGGACACGAGGGGCAGCTGCAGTGGCAGGACACACACACAGTGTCACTGATGGACGTTTCACCAGGCAGAGCCGGACACGGAGCCTCTGGAGGGGATCTGGGGGTCCCCGAGGCTCTCTGAGACCGCAGCCCCCTGAGGCCTGAACCCCTGAACCCCAGCCCAGCCTCGGGGCAGGACCTGCGGCCTCATTCACCTGCGTCAGGGGCTCCCTCCCACAGGGGTTCCTGAAGCCTTCTGTGGCTGCTGCCTCTGCTCCCCCTCCTGCACAGGGACACAAACACGGCTGGGCCCGCGCCCTGCAGAGGGGCTGCCATTGCCCCGGGGGTGACACTGGGGCCACCTCCACGGGCTGGTGCTGTCACGGACCCCATGTCCTCCCTCTCAGCCCCAGATCACCTCCTTCCTCTGCCCGGCGGCTCCCAGGGCTCCCTCCAGGCTCTGCCACTGCCCGAGGCGCCGCTGGATTTGCTGCCGTAGCCCCCGCAGGACGTGGAGAGCGCGGCTGGGGAGGGCAGGGATGAGCGGCAGGGGACAGGGAGGGGACAGCGGGGGGACAGGGAGGGGACAGGGAGGGGACAGGGAGGGAGGGAGGGGACAGGGAGGGAGGGTCCCACGAGTGGGACCCCCTGTCCCCCTGGGCAGCTCCCTGCACCCACCCGAGGGCTGCCGGCGAGGGCCCCGGTGCCAGGGCAGTGCCGGAGCCGGGGCCGTGTCCCCGGGGAGCCACCGGGGGGTTCCCCAGGGCCGCGGAGCCCCCGGCCCGGCTCGGGCGATGCTCCCGCCGGGCGCTGCTGCCGGGCAGCTCCTGGAGGGGCAAGGACAGGGATCAGGGCAGCTCTGCCCCCCAGCCCGCCCAGCCGCTCCGGGGGCAGCTTCGGAGCCCGCTCAGAGCTCCCAGGGACATCCGGAGCCCCCCGGGCTGAGCAGAGGTTTGGAAGGAGCAGAACAAGCACAGAGACCCCCGGGGGTCCCTTCTGTGTCCCTGAGCCACCCCCAGGGCAGTCCGTGTCCCCGACAGCAATGTCCCCAGCAGCCCCTCTCCTCTGGGTGGCCTCAGAGGAGCTGCACATCTGGGCTGCTGTGCCCCCCTGGCCGATCTCCAGCACAGCCCCGGCTCCGGGCTGGCTGTGTCCCGGCCTTCCCTTCCCTTCCCTTCCCTTCCCTTCCCTTCCCTTCCCTTCCCTTCCCTTCCCTTCCCTTCCCTTCCCTTCCCTTCCCTTCCCTTCCCTTCCCTTCCCTTCCCTTCCCTTCCCTTCCCTTCCCTTCCCTTCCCTTCCCTTCCCTTCCCTTCCCTTCCCTTCCCTTCCCTTCCCTTCCCTTCCCTCCCAGACCTGTTCCATGGCCTCCCGGAGCAGCCGCAGGCTCTGGGCCCGGTCCCTCTGGAGCAGCCCCTGCAGGCGGTGCAGGACCCGCAGCCGCTGCCGCAGGAGGGAGCAGCTGCCCCGCTCCAGCTCCCGCAGCCTCTGCAGGACAAGCGGAGTCACCCTGGGCTGCCCAGGGCCACCCCGCAGCCCTGGAGGGCCCTTCCCAAGGGCGGTATCCGGGCAGGATCCCGGCCTTGCTGTCCATTGCTGGGTCGGTGCCCAGGAATTCTCACTCGGCCTCCAGCCCTGCCTGTTTCTCTGCCCTTCCCAACATTCCAGCTCTCCTCCCTCTGCCGGGGCTCTCCAGGGACCCTCTGAGCTGCAGACAGTGACCCCAGGCTGCCTATAGCCACAAGGGTGGTTTTCCCAACAAATTCTTCTCCTAAAAGCCTCCGTCCCTCAATAAACGCCCCCTGTGGATAAATCCAGCTGGGCTCTTTAGGAATTTGGGCGGCAGGAATGTTTCCCATGGGATGCTGGACAAGGGGACTGAGCTGTGGCAGGCTGTGATGTGTGTGCTCCTTCCCATGGCCCCTCCGATGTGATCCTGGCCCCTCTGGAAAACCAGGAGTGCTCTGACCTCCAGCAGCTCCAGTTTCTCTTCTTGTAGAGTTGTTATTTTCCTTCTCTCCTTGTCCAGCTGCTCCTGGCCCACACGGGCTCCCTGCCCCTGCCAAGACTGCAAAAACCTCCTCTTTTGCCATTCCCACACCTTTGCCTCTTCCAGGAGCCGGCTCTGGCCCTCCCATCACCCCAGGAGCAGCAAAGCAGAGCCAGAGCAGCTGCCCCAGCCTGTCCCTGCTACCTGCAGCAGTGCCAGCCCAACCCCTGCTTGTGCCACCACCTCACCAGGCTCTGCAGGTCCGTGTGGCACTGGTGACGGGTGTCCCGCGTGTGTCCCAGTAGTGCCAGGCCAGTCCTGTGCCAGGGACACCGTCACCCACACCCCCAGCTCTGCCCTCAGGGCGCCCATCCCCTCCTGGCCTTCCAGGGCCACCTCCTGCTCCAGCCTGGGTGCAGGAGCCATCCCTGGAGCCCCGTACCTGGCTCTGTCCCCTTGGCTCCAGGGCCTGGCACCAGATCCCAGCTCTCGTGTCCCCTCCTGGCTCCTCCTCAGAGGCTGCCCCGCCAGCCCCTGGCATCCAGCACTGGGGTTACAATCCCATTTCCCCCTTTCCATTGCATTTCCTCGTGCATTCCCGGGGCCACCACGTGGGACACAAGGGCCAGCGCCAAGCTCGGTGTCCTGGCCCCTCGGTGTCCTGCTGCTCTCCAGATCCCAGCTGGAAGCAGAGCCAGGAGCATCCCTGCCTCCATCCCTGCCCCCACCAATGCATCCTGTCCCAGCTGGGGCTGTGCCCATGGCAGACCCCAAACCCCAGCCCCCAGGGCTGTACCTTGCAGGGCAGTTCCCCTTTCTGGTCCCCTCGCAGCCCTGGGGACACAGGTGACCTCCATGGCCTGGGAGCTCCCACGGCTGTGCCAGCACCTGCGGGGAAAATGGCATTTGGGGAGGGAGGAGCCACAAACGCACAGAAACCCCACATGCAGCCGGGGCTGGTCCCTGCCACCGTGTCCCCTGCCCTGCCTGTCCCTTGCCCTGCCTGTCACAGCCCCGCAGCCCCAGGGCCAGCCCGGACTCACTCCTGCTGCTGGCGGCTCCTTCCCTGTCCATGGCAGCCACACTGAAGGTGACATTCCTTCCATGTCCCCAGAGAGCCGGTGGTGGCCCCAGGGCGGGATGTCCCCTGGTTGTGGCCCTGCTGGCCCTGGGAGCGCTGCTGCCGGGAGCTCCTGTCCTTGGCCCAGGCCTGCTCCTGCCAGCAGCGATCCCTGCAGCGATCCAGGGGTGCCCAGCTGTGCCCAGCAGCTCCCCACGGGCACGGTCCCCGTGTCCCAGCGCTGGCTGGGCAGGGGGGCCCGGCCAGGGGACCCCCCAGGGCACCTCCCCATGGCTCTGGCTCAGGCTCAGGCGGGAGATCCTCGCTCCCAGGGACTCCAGGCTGCTCCGGGATGCAGAGCTGTCCTGCCGGGGGGCTCTGCCCGCCCCCATGGCCGTGTCCGAGCTTCTCCCTGCGGGGAACAAGGGCTCGTCCTGCCCGGGATGAGCTCCTGCCCTGGGGACATCCCCAGCAGGCTCCTGCTGGCACAGCAGCGGCTCCACCATCGCCTCCCAAAAGCTGGCAGCGAAATCCTCGGTGCAGACGGAGCTGGAGCTGCTGCAGCGGCCCGGGCGGGGCCGGGAGCCCGGGGGCTGAGCCCAGCCGGGCTCCTCTTCCCGTGGGACAGGGCTGCCACCCCGGGCACAGCCGGCACGGCGTCCTGCCAGCTCTGTGGGGACAGCAGAGCCATGAGCCCACCCCAGTGGGAAGGAGCCATCCCATCCTGCTGGATCTGAGCCACCTGGGAGGGGCTGGCAATGCCTGTTCTTACCGGGGAGCACCAAAGCACCGACACCAAACACATCCCACCCTCTGCTGCAAGATCCCCAGCTGTCTCCAGTTGGAGAAGCCACAATATCATCCTTATTTTCATTTTAAACCAGGGGCATTGTTGACCTTGATGCTCCCAGGGTCGGGAGGGGCAGTGCCAGGGAGGGCTGGCAGCATCCAGGATGGGGCAGGGATGGTGTCAGCTCCTCCCAGGGAGGAATTTTCCCTAATATCCGATCTAAACCTGCCCTGGCCCTGCCTGAGGCCGTTCCCTTTGCTCCTGTTCCTGTTCCCTGGAGCACAGCCCGACCCCCCCGGCTGTGCCCTCCTGGCAGGAGCTGTGCAGAGCCACAAGGGCCCCCCTGAGGCTCCTTTGCTCCAGGCTCAGCCCCTTCCCAGCTCCCTCAGCCTCTCCTGGGGCTCCAGCCCCTTCCCAGCTCCCTGAACCTCTGCTCCATCACCATTCCCAGCCCAGCACTGCTCTGCAGAACTGGCAGAGGGGGCTGGGGGGCCAAGCAGAGCTGAGGAAGCCCCGAGTGCCCCGTGCCCACTCACCGGCCATGGCAGGACCTTGCTGGGAAGGATGGGGAGGATGGGGAGGATGGGGAGGATGGCACCGCCCCTGCTGCCACCAGCGCTCAGCACAGCCACACCCGGGAGCTGCAGGGAATGGGGCAGGGAATGGGACAGGGAATGGAACAGGGAATAGGACAGGGAACGGGGCAGGGAATGGGGAAGGGAATCGGACAGGGAATGGGGCAGGGAATGGGGCAGGGAATGGGACAGGGAATGGGGCAGGGAATGGGATTGGGAATGGGGCAGGGAATGGAACAGGGAATGAGACAGGGAATGGGGCAGGGAATGGGGAAGGGAATGGGGAAGGGAATGGGGCAGGGAATGGGGCAGGGAATGGGGCAGGGAATGGAACAGGGAATGAGACAGGGAATGGGGCAGGGAATGGGGAAGGGAATGGGGAAGGGAATGGGGCAGGGAATGGGACAGGGAATGGGGCAGGGAATGGGACATAGAATGGGGCAGGGAATGGGGAAGGGAATGGGGCAGGGAATGGGACAGGGAATGGGACAGGGAATGGGGCAGGGAATGGGGCAGGGAATGGGACAGGGAATGGGGCAGGGAATGGGGAAGGGAATGGGACAGGGAATGGGGCACTGCCAGATGTGTTCACTGGGAGGACAAGGCAGGAGCACCCCAGGGCTGGTGCTGCAGCTGCCCCCCCACATCTGAGCCTCGTAAAGGAACCCCCCTTCCCACACCCCACACCTGGATTTCAGGTTTCATCAGCAGGGTCCAGATCCAGGATCCTGGAAGCCCTGGGCTCCAGGGCTGCAGAGAGGAGGAGAGAAGCACTGAGGGTCTCAAAGCCCTTGGGCTGGGCCTGAAATCCCCAGGGGGGCTGTGCAGCGGGGCCAGGCAGGGCAGGAACCACCCTGGGCTCCCAAACCACTGCACGCTGAGGGGGACGGGGCAAAGGTGCTGGAGCAAAGGTGAGCTGGGCCAGGTGTGCTGGGCCAGGTGAGCTTATCCAGGTGAGCTGGTCCAGGTGAGTTGATCCAGGTGTGCTGATCCAGGTGTGCTGGTCCAGCTGTGCTGATCCAGGTGTGCTGATCCAGGTGAGCTGATCCAGGTGTGCTGGGCCAGCTGTGCTGATCCAGGTGAGCTGGTCCAGGTGTGCTGGTCCAGGTGTGCTGGGCCAGGTGTGCCAATCCAGGTGTGGTGATCCAGGTGTGCTGGGCCAGGTGAGCTGATCCAGGTGTGCTGATCCAGGTGAGCTTATCCAGGTGTGCTGGTCCAGCTGTACTGATCCAGGTGTGCTGGGCCAGGGCTCAGTGAAGGTGCTGAGACTGACACAGCCCAGCCCGGCCCAGCCCGGCCCCGCCGCCCCGGAGCTGCGGTGCCGGGGGTGATGGGGCCGGGGGCTGCCCTTCCTTAAAGCCGGGACATCGGCCCTGGAGCTGCCCTCGGGAGCTGCAGGTGCCCGGAGCCCCCCGGGCGCGCAGGGAGGGTCGCAGGGCCGGGGTCCCCCCAGGGCAGCCCCGACTCACCTGGGGCCGACAGAGAGGAGGCAGGAGCGGCACGGGCAGGGCTGTGTGTCCCGGTCTCCTGGCAACAGCCCGCAGGGACCGGTCTGAGCCTGCCCGGACCCTCCTCCAGCTCCCCCGGGCAGCTCCTGCCCCACAGAGTCCCCGGGGCAGCTCCTCCCCACCATCCCCAGGGAATCTCCGTGTCTGGGTACCTTCCCCTGAGTCCCATTCCTCCTCCTCTGGGCCAGCACCACCTTCCCCCTTGGCCAGGTCCCCTGGGACATCTCCAGCCCGATGATGTCTCCTGGCCCATCTCCTTCCTGGGGCAAACCCTGTCCTGCTTCTCCTTCTCCTTCAAGCTCCCAGATAATCTCCTTCCATGCTCCTGCTTCCCTGGCCCTCCTGTCTTGGACAACTTCCCCTGCAGCACTTCTCCTCCTGCCCCTCAAACCACCTTCTGTGCACCATCTCCTCCCCTTGGCACCTTCTCCCCCAGATCCTTCTCCTTCCCTGAACCACCACTTCCCTGGATCTCCATGTCCTTTGAGCAGCATTCCCTGGATCTTCTCCTTCCTGTGCCACTTCCCTGTCCCCCACCCCGTGTCCATGTCCCCTCTCACACCCAGAGCCCCTCCAGGACCTGCAGCCCTGGGGAGCCAGTGACCATCTCAGCACCACGGCCTTTAAAACTCCCGAATCCAAGTTTTATTTCCGTGTAGGAGAAGAGGGATCACTCACAATATATTATTGTTCAAAAAGAAAATACATTCAACAGCATTTACAGTGGAATGACATTAAAATCCTCGAGGAGGAACAGAAGGACCAGGAGATGGTGCTCTGGTTAAGTGCTGCTGATAAGATGATCTCTGGAAGATGGAGCAATTTTTTCCATTAGCCTAAAATCCGGGGGATTTCTGGGTTGGGGTTGCTCCTCGTGCTCCCCCAGGCTCCGTGGAGCTGTGCAGGGTCTGTGATGGGGGTTCCCAGATGGAGGGGGCGATGGGGGCTCAGCAGAGGGGACCCCTGGGGGCCCCAGAGCCCAGCACATCCCACTCCCTGCTCTGCTCCGCCCGGGAACAGCCCAATCCAGCCGGGAACAGCCTGTGCTGGAGCTCCTCCCTGCTCCAAGCTCCCGGGTGACACTTGCATTGACACAGCAAAAAGGCAAATAAGGCATTCTGAAAGCTCCATCTCACCCCTCCTAGAGCCCGGCCCGAGGGCACAAACCCCCCGGGACACTCCGGTGCTGCCACGGGCCAGGGCAGCGGCACCAGGGACCAGCGGGGAGCACCCTCCCTCTGCCAGGCAGCACAGCCGGGGCCAGGACACCTGGGGCAGCTCTCACAGGCCAAATCCCAGGCTGGAGCATTTAAGATCAGCTTTCCCGAGCCGGGGCAAAGCTCCAGGAAGGAGTGAACATCCTGGAGCAGCTGCTGCAACTCTCGGGACACTGGGAAGCAGCCTGGAGCATCCCACTGCCCGGAATTCCTAGTGCCACAAACCCCAAACACATCATTTCCAGATGGGAATGTCTCTGGAACACCTTTTCCATGCTACAGGATCCAGCTTTGGAGCAAACCGTTGCTTCCCTGCCATGGGAATCCATCACCACCACCCGAGCTCGGGGACGAGCCGAGGGGAATCGTACTCGTGCTGTAAAAACTCAGACAGACACTTCTGTCTTCATCATTTTTCATCTTTTGTGTACCATAGAAATTTAAGCAAAATAATTTTATATATATTTATATATATATATGTATAAATTAGAAGCAAATAAATAAGATTAAAGGGTGCACTGAGAGCAGTGGGGGCTGCCCCGCAGCACGGTGACGCCATCAGGGCCGTGGGGACTGTACACTGTGGGGATCACAGGGATGGAAGTGCTGGAAGCTGATCAGGAGGAGACTGATGGATGAGGAACCTGATTGCATAAGTGTCCCGTGTGCAAGCCTGGATATTCCAGTTACCATTGCCTCAAGGTTCGTTATTGCTAATTAACTTCACGTGGGTGTGACAACCAGCTCAGGGCGGCCCCGGAGGCAGGGTCAGTGTGATATGATGGAGAGCCAGAGAAGGAGACAGCAAAAATGGGATCCAGCAGGGCCAGTGCAGGTCTCCAGGTGCTCCTGGCCCAGCAGATCCCATCTCCGGGATGCCACCACCTCCTGTTCCCCTCGGTGCTCCCAGTCCTCACCTGTCCCCAGCAGTGCTCGCTCCGCTCCTCCCGGTGCGTCCAGGGCCAGGCAGGGTGATGGCACCTGGCAGGGCTGAGGGGGACGAGGGGCTCCCTGCCCTGACAAACTGGAGCTGCTGCAGGGAGAGCCCAGGATGAGGGAGGGG